ACCAGTGTTCGTCTTTGGAAATCTCCTGTGGACGCTCACCGCAGTGCAAGTATTTGCAAAAGAAATTAATACATACAACTCGGCATTGTGTATACACTGCTCTGTGTGTTCTAAATCAAATGTGCAATTATAACGACTGAACTAGTCAGGGGCTAACCTAAATTGTTGTTTACACAGTATCTAACACAAAGTAGGCTTAACTGAATCACATTTGGCAACAAATAATTCAGTTTTATCAACTAACTGTCATCACAATCATTTTGAAAAACTATTGGCTGAGCACATTCGTCTGAAGTGAAAAAGATGACTAATTCTTTTATTTATGTCTGACATACAAGTCTGACTTGTCTACAAACTGTTATTGGTTATTCGGTAGGCTTGAGGTCACACAAAATACATTGAATAAACAACAATGTCAACACGCATTGTAAATAACCTCAGACAGTTTGAGAAAACAAACACACTGTGGCCTATACAACAAACACATGAAATAAATAAGAGGTGAGAAATAGCTGTACTAAAGCCTTATCGATTAATTTGTTCACATATTAAACAAGGATATGACTCATCCAAGGTCAGTCGATATAATCACAGTGGTAAGATTTCGAAACATAATTCAACAAGAACTAACGCGGTTAAGGTGTAGTATAGAGACGAGTAAATTAGAATCGAGAATGTGATTTTTTCGGCTTTTGTCACAAATCGAAACTTCACGAACAGCATGCAGTAAAATACCTTTGTGCACTGCCCAATATATTTAAAATATTTGTGAAAAATTACTTTTTGTCACTATGATATAAGTGATAGTGTAGAACCTATCGAGTGCTGAATTCCGTCTTTGTAAATTCCATGTAACAGGTGAATCGACATTATCTGAATATCCTCACTGTAAACACTTAGTTTAAGGATCAACTGATCAAATAGTACCCCCTTGATTTTTGTGCTAAATTTATTCATCCATTTACCGACAAGTCATTTTTGCATTACTGCTGATGTACTGTACTCTGCCACATATAATACCAATTATTTTTCACTCGTTGTTGTCAGTTTTCCAATTTAATCTGCTATGAATTTGATCGATTTGATAATCCCGTTTATCTAATGATGGATTGGAGAAGAAGGCTTAATTCACATGTGTTTGTCACACACTCAATTGATATGAGTGTTTTGTAGGATTGATTGGGAGGGTGGACACATATAATAAATCACACGATTTTCTCGTTGTATCAGTTCACATCAAATTGTATATTAGTAACTAGAAGAATAAGATAATCAAAACTTGTCAGTCCTATTCGCTCATTTTCCTCCATCTTCTATGTGGTTTATACATTATCGATCGTTAATTTGTTGTTTGTTTGTAAGAAATTGATTTTCTTATTATTTGAATTACTGAATAAAAAGACATGGCAATAAAAAACATATTTCGTGTAATTGAAGAATGTTTAATCAAGGCTTAGCAACTGAAATTATATCGTTAATGTTAAATGAAAATTTTAGAAATCTATTCACGAAACTGTGTTAAATAGAAATTTTCAAAAACTAAAATGAAAATTAGTCATTTTTTGTTGTTGAGGTTTTCATGAGGAAAAGAAATTGAACAATGTAAGAAAATTTATAGGAAAATCAATTCATAACATATGAACATGAATAAAGTAATATCTAACAAATTCTAATGGTACGCGTAACACTGGATTTACTTTGTGGGTTACTGAATAATACCGTCATGTAGGCTGTCAGTTTAAAAAAATACAACAAATATATTTCTTTGAACAGGGACAAACATGTAATGACAATGTGTTCAAGAAATTGATATCTACACATCAACTACATGAGGTTCAAATACTCTTATCCAAAAACAACGAAGACAATTTGCAATTCAAACGTAGTGAACGGATGAATAATCAATTACAACTAGTGACTTCGTAACAACAGGAATAAAATAAGAATTAATAATTAGTATATGACCTAAACAGTTTTAGTTGAAATAGACATAAAAATGGAACAATGAAATCGAAAGTAATTTGATGACCAGAGAGAAGAAAGAAGTCATACATACAATTTCTGAATGTAGAGATCAGGTTTATTTAGGTGGACTCATACCGATTCCACTATATGTGAGATTCAACTTCCCAAATCATAAAGTATATTAAATGCGGTTCGAATATTATTATCAATGCTACATTCATGTCGACTAAATGGACTGAGTCAACTGAATGTCGAGTTAGAGAGATTCTTATTATTCCTCTGTCGGCATTCACTCAAATGCGAAGCTTGATGTTCCAACATTCATGTTTACACATGAAACGTGTACTCATTCAATAAATTTTCTACATAATCTCAATCTCCTTACTCTACATAACTAATGGGTTGAGCGTTAAGAATAGTGAACTATTCACTGAATCAAACCAGGGAACATACATCACTTGATTTCAGTTGAGATTTTTCACACTCATCCAACCTGGAAACAACATAGTCGAAGTCTCACTATCATACACTACTCTATTTGTAATTGATCAATATCACGGAAACACACTGACGATACAACTCTCGAAACCGAAGTATCTCTGCAAAGTTGATTCGTTCTATTTTAGGACCCTCATTATAGTCCATGCACTGAACCACCAACGAATAAAACAAGCAACTAACGACAAAGCGACAATTTGATTTTTCCTGCGAAATTGTCAAGACAGTGTGTCGATTAGATGGGTAGTTAGCACAAATTTAAGTGAAATGCGCAACCACTTCCGAATGGATCTGTGGTGAAACATGACACGTCCAATGCTAGACTAGTTAGATTTATTATGAATCACTCTAAGATCAGTTGGAACGGTGAAAATATGCACAACCTGAACTGAGGTCACAATTAAGCATGAATAAATTACTAACACTGTAACATATTCATCACTGGTTGATTAGTGTTAGTTAATTGGTCGGTTGGAAATTGTTGGTTTGCAATGAACTATTCTTAATTTGTATGTCGCATTTGATTGTGTGTTTAGTTTATGTTCAGTAATCTCATCTCAGTCACATGCTTCAACACTCCTTTCCATATGTCCCAGGTTTGATTGTTCAATCAAACATCCACAGTCTTAATATTGCCAAAATATGTGATGCCTTTATTCTTCGTACAATATTTCGTCTTCACATAACATTCAATATTCAGCTAAGCATTAAATTTCATGATATGTTTACTCGGAATTCATGTATTGATTATTTAAGGCTACTACAACATCAACAATATTATGTTCAACGTGAATTACTGCATAGACAAAATAATGTGATTCGCATGTGTCCACCCTCCCAACCAATGCTTCAAAACATTCATAACAGTCGAGTGTGTGACAAACACACGTGAATTTAACCTTGTCCTACAATCCATCAATAGATAGACGGGATTGCCAAATCAACCTATTTAATATATTGATCGTTTCGAATCGATATGTATTTCTGCATGCAGTCTGTCACATTTGTGGTTGGAATTTTATTTCATGTGATGCATTTAGTCTTTCAGTATAACAGAGATTATATTTCTCAATACTGTCCTGCCAGAACAACACACAAATGCAAATTGTTTGTTCATGTGTTTCATAGAAAACAATGTGTGCTATTTCAAATAACAAATTTTATCTCGTGTCAATATGGTGGGTAGGTGGTTAGGTACACAACATCGCGCACCACCAACAACATCACCACCACTCCAGATTCACAAACTGTCAATCTAAGTGGCTAAACGCTTGCGAAAATTCAAAGTCTTCTCATCAGTAGTTTGTATGGATAATTGAGCTTGAAGTTTCTGCTACATATATATTAATGGTGTGAACATACAGACAAATTGCTGGTAAGATCTCTCGATAACTATCGAATTAAAACGGGCAAATGATTAGTAGTTGACAGAAAACCAAGGCGTAAATTAAATCTATGTCTTAGAATTCAATGTTTCATCGAGATGTTGTTCGAGAAATAAACGCATCGGAATGCATGAATATTTTGACGAGATCAAAATCACGAATGCTTGACTAACCAATCAGACATGAGACACGTTAAAATAAGCATGCAGACCAGTGATCAAATAGAGATACCAGACACAGGCAGGCAGACACAAGCAAGCACACACAACTAAGCAAACACAACTGACATGCCACACCACACACCAACAAGCATTACCTGACTGTCTACTAAATCATCATCAACTAGCCAACAACAGTCAACCAATAGTAATCGAGTGCATAGGATATACGGTTGGTGGTAGAAAATTCTCAACATGTCGCCTGTCTGTCTCACTCTCGTTCAAAGTCTTATTTTTCTTCAATTCACAACCACAAAACAGATTGCTTGATTATGATCAATACACCTCGAAAGTCAGCTTGTGCATCAAAACCACCACCAAAACCGTCGAAACAGATCACAGTCAAACGATACACAACTGAGGAGGCGAGTGAGTTAGCCGAATTGGTAGTGAGATATCGGGATGTTTGGAGAGACAAGAGCCATCCATCCGCACTTCTTCAGAAACATTTGTGGATGCAATTCGCACATTATCTACAGTCGAAGGGATGGCCGAGAAGAAACTGGACTCATCTGCGTCGGAAGGGCCTGTACATGTTGAGGAAACTCAATAACATGACAATCAGTCATTGGGAGGTGTCGAAAAGCAATCCCAACACCCCTGAAAATCCCTCGAACCACACGCCACTCTCCAGTTCCGATGCAAATCGACACGTGAACGTGAACGGACAAAGTGATTCGGTAAGTTCGCCTTGCCCAATGACGTGCTAATTGTTTTCATCGAATTCAGGTGACCGAGAACCAGTTGAGTGTGCATCGACCCAACTTGCCTACACTCACCCCCTCACCTGTGGTAACCATCACCTCCAATCTTCCCACATCGACACTCAGTCCTCCTACAAACCACGTGCAACCGAATCCCCCACACACAACCGGTCCGAAAATCCTGAACGCATTCTCAACAGCTCATATGTCCCAACAACTGACGATTGCACATGATGCTGAAGTGCTGCAGCCAACCAACAACAACAACAACAACAACACGGTTGGTGAGGTGGCGATTAACCGAGTCGCGTTACTGACTCCTCTCCAATTTGTCTCGTTCGGAGTCGCGAAAACCCACACTGCAGACGTATCTCCTGTTCGAGAAGTGAATATCTCGAACTCACCATCCAACCAACCGAGTCGCATTCCTCTGACTGCAACAATTGATTTATCAACGTCGAGTGAGGACGAGGAGATCTGTCCAGAGTTGAGTGGAACGCGATATCAGACGAACACGAATCACGCGAATGACTTGGGTGAAAAGTCCAAGGATTGTATCACGTAAGTAGGACACCTATTTTCAACTGACACGTTTCACCTTATATATATTATTCCTGTTGTTGTTTGTTGTTTGACTCTCACCACTAGCACAACATATCCCTGGTTAGCTGACTGACCGCTCCACACTGCTTGCTGTGTGATCAAGAGAATGTGCATTTATTTTATGACTATGGTTGTCACTGTAGCTCTGTGAGAACGAGACTTAGCAGTAGGATTTGATTCACACAAGCAGTGAGTGAAGCACACAACGAGGTAGATGGATAGATAGACAAATGAATAGACATTCGGACAAATAAGCAGTACACTGTTTGCTTACGTCCAATGGTGTTCTATCTCACTGAAGTGTTTTCGTCCCACGTTGTGCGTCACTGAATATCTTGATCATTGTCTTTATAATTGGGGTGTGCATGCTTACTGAAGATGAGTGTATCGAGTGAAAATTCCTATTTAGTTGTGTTTGTCAGTTGTCTACATAGTGTAGTACATTTGATGATTAGGATATATGCGACGACTTTTATGTATATATATATATATATATATATATATATATATATATATATATATATATATCAGTATATGTATTTATATATTTATCATCTATCCTACATCGCTCTGGTGATAATAAGCACATGTTCAAACTGTGACTGGTTTTTGTAGATCCGAATGTGACAGAACCCCATTGTCAGAGATGTTGATTCACAAGCAAATGAAATGCCTAGATCTGAAGATTGAAATTCTCCAGATGAAGAAGCAATATTGGTCGGACAAACTGAAATTATCATCGAAAAGCTGAATGTTTGGTGAAAGCCAATCTATACATGAACTACCACTGTGATTGTCATCAATTCTATTCGCATATGAATAGTAGACATTTGTAAATTCGATTTATACACATGTATGTATACGTATTCTGACTGACGAAGATTGTTCTTCCTTTTCATCATTATTGTCTATTTGTATGGTGCGTGTATGTGTGTGTGCGTGTGAAGTTGTTTGCCAGTCAGTTCTTTTGTTTTGAATCCATTTGAAGTGGACTTTTGTTCAATACTGCTCTGTTTCAAATGTTGAGCACTGTAATGACTACTGTGTTGCATACTGTACATAATTAAATTTCAATGTTGGTTTTGTAAAAATCTTATTTTGTCTTTGAATTTATGGACGTCATCGACAATTGGTTGTGTGGATGACGGATGATACTTGACTTAGAATACACATGTGTTAGACCTTTGTCAATTTTATTTATTATCATGATGAATTGGTTTGATTGATATTTATTCTAGTGATTTCTCTGTAATTAACTGCTTGATATTTCATTCATGATACATATTCGATATATGAGTACAGTTGATGTCAACTTCCAATACTTGATGACCACATGTGACGGAGATTGGAGAGAATAAATGGTCCCATTCGAATGATGATGATGATGATGATGATGATGATGGTGTTTAGAATATAAATAATAATTTTGATGATCGTTGTGTTTTGAATAGGTTTCTTCTGTTTCCTCTTAACCTGTTTGTGAAATGAGTTATTCACTCAGAAATTGTGTAAGCCTTCATTGCCTGTTCTGCACAATTTCAATTATATCGTAATGAATTGTGGACGAAGCATGAGGAGTAGGTAGAGTAGAATAGAATAATTGATTCACGATTGAGTTTTATTTCGTGTTCAAAGTGTATGTGGAAATTTGTACAGTTGACTGTTGTATTTTGTCTAATCTAAGTTAGGGAATGGCTTGTTAGAATTGCCTTTGAATGTGTGATTAGTTCGACGATGTTTTCTCGTTCGAAAGTCAACTAGTTTGATAATATCCTTACGTTATCGGTCGGTTGGATTGAGGTGAATATGTCGAATCTTTGTTGCTAGTGGTTGATTATTTAGGAATCGTCACGTCTTTACGTTATGAACGACTTCTCAGTTATATTGATTTGAGCGTATATTGTCAAGGTGTGTTGATCGTACTTTTGTGTAGTAAATTGTATAGTGGAGCGGTAAAATTGTGGAAGTGTGGCGCATACGGCGGTGGTTTACATGAATATGTGAATATTCGACTGAAATGCAATTGGGAGTGGAAATTAAGAAATTCAACCGACGAGGCATTAAGGAATAGTAAATTGTTGATTTAACAAAGTGCTCATCGATGGTGAGACTATTTGTGAATGCGAAATAATGATGAGGAAACAGGTTGGTGTTTGGCAGTTGTGGATCCACTATGATAGATGGTTAACGAATGAATACACAACAAATAGGATGGATATCTAATCAGAATAATTTCTCATGAATTCATCAAGCACATTTCTGTAAGTTTGAATCTACTTATATATTACCATCACAGATTGTTTGTAAGTACTCTGACGAATTGACTCTTGCAACATATTATCATGCGTTTTGTCTATAGGTGGTAATGCGATATTATACATACTGTAAGTGTTGGTTGGGTTGTCATCTGTTTAGAGACAATAGTTGTTTTGATGTGTTCAGAAGGAGTTAGTTGGTGACTGTTGGATATAGTTAACTAGTGTCAAACGGAAATCCCCCACCATTATCGAATAATCGAATTTAGATCTTGTTTAACTACTCAACTTGATAATTTTATATATGATCCGTGGAACATCATTTGGTTGGTCGTCTATAACAATGCGACACTTGTTTATCTTAATATTTCTTTGAGTTGTTTGGTCATTTGTTTATTCTATCTGTCACACAGAATTCATCGAAACATTTTGGATAATATTTAGTAAACCGTGTACTGGAAAAATATGTGTGTGATGCAAATTGTAATATCTTTCTGATTGAATTGTTTGATGAGAGGATTCTCGATTCTCATATTGATTTCGCTAAACTTTTGTGTGGATAGATTTGGCGTAGAAAGTGTCTTACAGTTAATTCATTTGTAACTGTTAGGAATTTGTGGACTAATTGAAACGTTGTTTTCTTTTTTGAGTATGGTTTCAATACGATATAAACGTGTAATACTCTACAGAAGGAGAACGTGTTTGCATTTCTATTCAGATGAATATTTCGATCAGTAGAAGTTTGATATTTACTTATTGTGATGATTTCGGAAATTGTGCACGAGCATTTCCCGATCGCTTCGGATTTGCAATAATTTTAACAAAATATTTTATCTTGTGTTATATTCTGATGTGCACATTTAATCAGGTTAATCGTAATGCAATCGTATATACTTATCATACAACTATTATATAGCACGTGACTTGTCAAGCATTTTGATGAACTACTACGAAAATTCAACGTCTGATCTATGTGTGGAATCGTTCCATAGTTACATGATTCGAGTGATATCTCATCCCGAAATTTCGTCATTCGGCTCACAAGTTATGAACATGATAGTTACAAAATGGTCAGTTGTTTTTAATGTGTTGTTTTCAAACATGCTTGCCAACTGCGTTTGTTTTAATGATGAATTATACCTAATTGTGTAATCAGTTCTGGTTTGAGAAAATAAACTGACCAGTTGGTAGCATAGAGTGATTTCTGTTGTATGCTCTAACAAGGGTTATATCGGTCTACGCTGACCCTAATTTCCAATCGATCAGTGCTCGTAGATGTCGCGAGAACTCTCTAGAGGATCGTGATGGAAATTCCATGTAAACTAGAGTGTTTCTACTAGCCTATCTTTCGCTGTTCGTATTCAGTGGAATATGGATTATTCCCTTTCGATTCTAGTTGTGATTTTAGAAGATTTGAGTGGGATGTAGTGTACAAGGTATGCTAAACGGTAGGAGAAACCAAAACGGTCCATTGGTGTTTGACAAACACTCACATGGAGCTCATGCCCAGTCGATGTTCACCAGATGTTCAGTAGATTCCAATCGATAATCAAAGTAATCCTCGGAATGGTCAACTGTAATGAGTTGATCAACAGAAGGACAATGAAATGATAATAACTCTTTGCGAGTGAGTGAGTGAAGATTTTTGTCGCTATGATCTCTTTTCAGAAGTTGTATTATGGATTTGAATGTGTTTGGAAGTATGATTATTTGTATAATGACGCGAATAACTGTACGTGGAACATGACAATTTAATGTGAATTTCCTCTTTGTGTTCTGAATTATTTCAATTGTCATTCAGAGTGAAGCCAACTGTTACTTAGTTCTAATAATTCTTGATCACAACACTAACTAAATTACTACAGTCTGTAGTGATTCCTCACCAAGTTTCATGCTGACTGATCAATCGTTTTTCGGCATGATTCCTCAAATTTATAGTGATATTGATATTATATTGAGTTCTTCAGTCCGCCCCTCATCAGTCATGTGTTTCTATGAATCATTAAACAGATTTCCTGTGTTTCGACTACACATTTCCACTCCATCTTCCACACTGGTGTAACACTTTTTCAACCCAATCAATCAATCAATCAATCAATGAATCAATAATCCATATGAGAATTCGTGTATTGCTTCATCTAGGAGTTTTGTTGAGAGTGTATGTGTAATTTGACGAATTCAATGAGATGAGGTGTGCAGATCTATTGAACATTGTCAGATGAAAAAACAAATAATGATATTTAATCAGTTCGCACACACACATAGGTTTATTCATTTATATTCTAGGATCACTGGTTACAACAATGGAGGCATGGTTTACCTGATAATCAATAATATTGTTAATAAGTAAAGTGGAACGGTAAGAAATGATGACTGTGTTAAGTACCCTGAATTTCATAAATTCTCTTCTCAAGGAAAAGACATCCAAAATTGTAATGAATCACTTTTCGTATTGAAAATGAGCAAACAAACAACTTAAACTGACTGGAAATAACAAAATGGACATTGAACTGAACAAAATCACTATAGAATAAGGTCAGACGAGTGGGCCAAACATAAATGCTACGATAATTGATACAGTGGATTTCAGTGAAGGAGAATAACTAACAGTATATACACTTTTTGATCAAAGTGAGATTATCACTAATTGTTTGAAATAATGATAAATGTTATGGGAAATAACTTTCCACGTGTACTGTTTGTTCATTAATGTGTCAACGGATTTGCGAACCTACTGTCCATATATGAGTCATTAATTTGATGAGTGAATTTCTAATAATCGGGTGACTCTAACTTTCACTACTCCATCCACCATGCTTGAATCTGATATGTTCTACACGGAGATATATTAGTTTATTCGTTCAGTTTGGTTCAACTACAAATGAAACAACATTCGTGGTGTTCATCAATCTTAAATTCTTTCCTGTGACTTCTTCGGAAGTCACGAGGCCGCTGTCCCTTCTGACAACCAGAGCAACCATTTATTTAGGTACATGGAATGCTCCCACAATGTGGGAGACTGGGAGAGTTTTCCAAATTGCTGCAGAAATGAGGAGATACAATTTAGAGGTGCTTGGGATCAGTGAAACACATTGGACGCAATTTGGACAACAACGACTAGCTTCAGGGGAGCTGCTGTTATACTCCGGACATGAACAATAAAATGCTCCACATACACAAGGAGTTGCATTGATGCTGTCCAAACAAGCACAAAATGCACTTATAGGATGGGAATATCATGGACCAAGGATCATCAAAGCCTCCTTCAAAACAAAGAAAGAGGGCATTACAATGAACGTCATTCAATGCTACGCGCCTACCATCGACTAAAATGAAGACGCTAAAGATCAATTCTACGATAGGCTGCAGTCAATCGTCGAGAAGTTCTCAACTAAAGACCTGACTATTCTAATGGGAGACCTAAATGCCAAGGTTGGAACTGACAACACCGGATATGAAGAGATCATGGGACGACACGGACTGGGAGAAAGGAACGAAAATGGTGAGAGATTTGCAAATCTATGTGCCTTCAATAAACTGGTCATAGGCGGCACTATATTCCCACATAAACGCATACACAAAACCACATGGACTTCACCGGATCACACCACACAGAACCAAATCGACCATATCTACATCAACAAAAAGTTCAGGAGGACGATGGAGGACGTGAGAACAAAGGGAGGAGCTGATATAGCATCAGATCATCACTTGCTGGTCGCCAAGATGAAATTGAAACTCAAGAGGCACTGGACAACGGGGAGGACAATATCACAAAAATTTAATATGGCTCTTCTTCGGGATACTGACAAATTCAATAAATTCAAGATAACCCTCAGCAATAAGTTCCAAGCCTTACATGATCTACTCAATGGAGAAGGAACTACTATGGAGAGCAACTGGAAAGTGATAAAAGAGGCAATCACTTCAACATGTCATGAGGTTCTGGGCCAAAAGAAGCACCATCACAAGGATTGGATCACGGTCGATACACTGGATAAGATTCAAGAAAGGAGGAACAAGAAGGCAGCAATCAATACCAGTCGAACAAGAGCAGAAAAAGTCAAGGCACAGGCTGAATACACAGAAGTAAACAAGCAAGTGAAAAGGAGCATCAGAACTGACAAACGTAAATATGTGGAGGATT